TAAAAAGTTGTCAGATCCATTCATCATCGAAAGCCACCTCCAAGTGATAACTACTAAACCCGGTACTGCAATCGAATTAAATACTTGATCTACATTTCAGTAAATCAAAAGGTTGATACCGGCAATAATTGGGTACTATTGTTAGCAAAAATAACCAGTAAGGTGCTGTGCACACATCATGACAGTTCTCTGGTTTCTCGGATATGCAATGGCAGGTTCCAGCTTCCAGACCGAGATTCAAATACCCGCAAAATCGCTGAGCGACCTCTGCATTGTATTGGAAAGTACTCTGACAAAAACCCAACTTGATTTTATTTTTCATTTTTATTCTTTTTCTTATTTTTATTCTTTATACATATAGTTTATATACCCGAATATGATAACGAATTCGTCTTATTGAATGCTTTGCAACGATATATTATATTAATATATTTGGATATATATTACAAGGAAGTTAACATTGATTTGACTATGACCGTCTCTTTGAACTTTCATGATCTATAACTTCGTGAAGGACACACCTGACAATTTGTACTCATTGAAAATTGATCTACTTTATCGAAACCTTTCGAATGACACTTATTTGTGACCTGCGACGTGTTAGATAATTTTTGGTTTCCTCTTTTATAATTTCTCAAGATTACTCAGTTTACGAACATTTAAATAACAAAACATTGTTTTCCTTTTTTTCCAGTAAAGATCATTCGTGATAATCGATTGATGAGTGTGTTGAAAAATGGAGCCTTTTGAAATTCTATGCGGCATTGCCGTAGTAATTCTCTTTCTTTATTATTTTCTCACGTCGACTTTTGACTTTTGGAAGTCACGAGGCATTCACGATACCGGGACTTGGTAATTTTAAAGATGTTATGTTTACCAAGATATCCCCAGGTGATTATTTGACAAAAATATACAACGCTTACAAAGATGAACCATTGGTTGGAATATTCTCCAGGAAGACACCCGTTCTTATTGTAAAAGATCCAAATTTAATTAAGGATATTCTTATCAAAGATTTTACCAAATTTGCTGACAGAGGACTTCCCATTTTCGAAAAGGTGAGAATACTTAAAGTTGTATACGTATAAGTGTATTCACACACACACAATGTTACTGATTCAACGCTGTCATTTTGCTCAGTGATGCAACAAAGAGTCAAGCGAACTGAGCGCGCTACATCAAAGTTACGATAAAAAAATAAGTTTTTTTTGTAAGTTTTTTTTAGTTTTTTGAAAAAAATTTTATTCATCGGTCTCAACCATTTTTAAATTGTTAAGCGGACATTTTTACCAATCATGAAATAATTAAAATTTCCGTTATGAAGTTTATACGTTAACATTGAAAATGATTTAGTGATAGATTGAAACGTATGTTTTTGTAATTGTATATGCTCCACAATAATTATTAAACTGTAGCATTTGACATCCAGCGTTGGCTCATAGCCTGTATTAAAAATCGTGAAATTTCCCCTATTGAAAAAAATCACAAAATTGCATAACGAAATTATGTAATTAAGACAAATAAATTACGTAATTATTCCAAATCATTTCATGATTTTTTAAATGATGTAATTTGGAAAGTCACGTGGCGATATGTTTTTTTTCTTCTATTTCATTAAATTCTTTAAAATTTGATAACTATAAAATCACATGGATAAAATTATTTCTAATATCATGTGATTTTTCAAATAACGTGATTTTAAAAATCACATATTGATTTGGAATAATATAAATTTGTTACGTGATTTACTTGTCTTAATTACATGATTTGATTATGTAACTTTGTGATGAGGTTTTTTTCAGTAGAGTTATCTTCAAAAGTCTTAAACAAGTTTTTATAAGATAGGAAAATTGGATTTTAAATTTATTTAATGACAATTTTTTATTTTATCCCTTTTTTTTGTCGTAGATCGAACCGTTATCGCAACATCTTTTCTCTTTGGAGCCAAAAAGATGGCGACCGTTGAGAACAAATCTGTCACCTGTTTTTACATCTGGTAAACTGAAGGAAATGTTCTCTTTAATGTCAGAATGTGCTGACCATCTGATCCAATATATGGAAAAAATATCGAGCAAGAATGAACCTGTAGAATGCCGTGAGTTGTCGGCCAAATATACGACCGACGTTATCGGTAGTTGTGCCTTTGGCATCGAGATGAATGCACTGTCGAACGAAGATAGCGAATTTCGCAAAATGGGAAGAAAAATATTCTCTTTGACTTGGACAAATATATTACGATCAAGAATCAGACAAATATCTCCGTGGCTTTACAATATGCTCGGTTACGTTCTGCCATATACAGATATTACTAAATTTTTTATACGCGTTATCAAGGAAAACATGAATTACAGAGAAACGAATAATGTTATTAGAAATGATTTTATTGATATGTTGCGCGAATTAAAAAAACATCCAGATAAATTTGGTGATTTTAGTATGTATTAAATGTATATATCTTTATATATGTTTTTTTTACATAGATCAACTTTTATATTAAAAAGTTACATGATTTTGCACATATCTGAAATAATTTATAAATAATAAAATGAAGTTAACTTCAACTTTTATTATGATTTATGATCAAATTTCTATTATGACTGTATTTTCACATGCTATTTGAAAATAATCATAATTTCAAAGATAATATAATAAATTTGATATATATAAATTGTTAAGTGATTAATTAATGTAAGAAAAATTAATAACCTATTAAATTTATAAGACTTATCTATAAAAAATTACATTTTTAGATTTGACAGACGATTTAATAACATCTCAAGCATTCGTATTTTTTATTGCTGGCTTTGAAACTTCGTCAACGACTATGAGTAACGCGCTCTACGAGTTAGCATTAAATCAGAAAATACAAAACAGTCTGCGTGAAGAAATTGACGAAGTTTATGCAAAATATGATGGAGACTTCGGATATGACAATATTAAAAAGATGAGTTATTTAGATAAAATTTTCAAAGGTAAGTCATTTAAGAAAGAAATTAAAGAAACATATACTCTGGTTAATTCTTCTTTTCAACAATGTTACAATATGATCCCATTGTTATACCGTGCTAATAACCTGCTTCAATTTAATTGTAATCTTGTAATGTAGGATACATTTTTATAATTAAGTATCGTTTTTATTGCGTGTAGAAACCTTACGAAAGTATCCAGTAGTAACATTTCTTATGAGGCAATCCGTGATGAGTTATACTTTCGATGGTACCAAAGTTAATATACCGAAAGGTCAAAAGGTATGGATTCCTGTTTATGCAATTCATCGAGATGCAAGTATTTATCCAAAGCCAGAAGTTTTCGATCCAGAAAGATTTAGTGACGACGCTGTGCAAAGCAGACATCCAATGTCTTACCTACCTTTCGGGGACGGGCCAAGAAATTGTATTGGTAAAGCAAAATAAATTTAAATATTATTTTTCATTTGATTTTGCATTAAAAAATATTTTTAATAAAAAAATGCTTTCATTTAAAAACATTAATGTAATTTATATTATAGTTACTTTTTATTTTCAGGTTCTCGCTTCGCTATTTATCAGAGTAAAGTTGGACTTGTAAAGATACTACGAAATTACAAAATCGAGACTTGCGAGAAAACACCAATACCTTACGTAAACAATCCTAAAGCATTTCTATTAGCACCAAAAGACGGATTACATTTGAAAATAATTAAAATTAATCGGACTTAGTTTTTCCTTAACTATTTCATGCAGAAAACATCCGTAATAAAAAGTGAAGAAAATCTGTTAATTATATAATTAATAATAGGAGTTATTTGTGATAATCTTGCGTTTCGCGGGTTTTTTCCGTGTTTAGATCCATTCTTGGAATGCCAACGTTTCGTGAACCTTGCAGAATGGATCTAAACACGGAGAAAACCCGCGAAACGCAAGATTGTCACATAGGTAACACCCGTGAAAGCCTCAAGAAAATAGGAGTTATTATTATAATTCTTCCGATTGGAAGAATTTCGATTTTGGACATAAGATGTCTAGGATAGTTTAATTTTAAGTTTATACTGTTATAATACGTACATATAATATCTTATAATATATATAGCATCTATTAATATCTAAAAGGATTGGATAGTAACTATTAATAAGTTAAAAGTTAAATAAAAGGTAAAAATTTAATAACTAACTTAATTTAATGAATTTTATAAAAAATCAATTTTTAACTTAATGTATGAACTTTCTTCTTTTCAAATAATAGATATTAAAATTAAAAACGAGAGCGTTTATAAGAATACATCGGCCCGTATTTAAAATGCGCTTACAACAACGATGTTAGCGTGCTAACATACTATACTTTATGTTACGCTTTATTGTAAAAGAGTGATCCCAAAGAAGGGGTCTTTTTCGCCCGTTTTTGGGCCCTCAATGTTTGGACATCAAAACAATTTTTTAAATTATGTTATACTATACATAAATTTGTAAGAAGTATAATACATGGTGTACATGCAATATGCAGGGTGTCTCAAATTATTTGATGTAATTAACAAAAATTGCACATTATATATGACTTTTAGACTTAATTTAATCCGATTTACTTACACATTGAGTATTGTCCCAAATTTTTTGGGATATCTTATTTATAAAACCTTCTTTATAATACAAACTAACAAATATATATAATGTAAGCGCAAAGAAATAAAAAAAGTTCCAATTTTTCAACTATATAATTCTAACTAATTAATCAGATATTTTGGTTTGTTACATTTTTCTGATTTTATTGTTTGCGATTTGTATAAACCCGATTTCGTTGTTCCATCTTCGAGTATGAAGTGTAAGTCTGATCGTTCAACCTGCTCGCAGCACATTCTCAGATAATTCAATCAATTAATACCTAAGATATATATGAATATTTTTCGGAGAAAGTGTCAAAAATGTATAATTTACTTGGAAGTGGGACAATTAACTCGGTGAAAAAGAGTCGCAGAATAAATTTTAAAAAACGAATTTGAAAGGGAGACTTCAAGCTTCAAAATACATATAATATATCTTACATAACGATGTTACGCGTAAGATTTAATTTTGGATATATTTCGCATGATTGAAAGTAATCTTCTATTCCTATATAGTATCCCTATATAATTTTGATGCGTAGTATATATTTATATTTAATAGCGATTAAATAAATAAACATGAAAAAGAATGATTCCATGAAAAAAGTCTTATTGTAATATTTATGGCAGAGTGCATATGATTTTCTAGACATGTTAATTATTATGGCATGTACATTATCACTAAGTGTTCTTCTCGATTGCTGATCTCTTAATTAAATTCTCCAAAATATTCTGCAAACCGGCAGGATATTCCGTGCCGGCGAAACTTGGAGTCTGTCTCTTGTCGCAAATCATCTCTTCGTCAGATGGGATTAAGTCGTCAATTAAATCTAAATATTTATCGAAGGGACACAGTGTGTCACAACCTGGGATTGTAAGATCTTTGATAGTTGGTGGAATGCCTCGATAATACACAAGCTAAAACAATTCATGATATATGATATATATAATTATTATATATCTCTGTATTATTTCTTCTTTCATTATTAGAATAACACATATATTGCTTGTATGTATATGATATAAAAATATTTACCTTCACATAATACTCTTGCTGGATCTGTTGCAATTCCAAAATAACCGCGCTAGAATACTCAGGTACATGCGGCTTATACACACCAAACGCGTGCAACATACCTGCAATGTTGGTCTCGTGACCACTGTATAAGTAAATCTTCGTATTCGGTGCATTTGAATTTTGTGCAGCTATCATACTATCTGTCATGGCACGGATCATTGGACCTGAAACAATGCAAGAGCATAATTATAATAATGAAATTTTAATTAAAATTGCTTTTCATTTAATCATGTAAAAAATCTATCACATTTGTAATAGACTGAAGTTTTATACATATAACAAATTTGATTTTATATCAATAGATTAACTTTCACCGTTTGCAAATATTTTTGATTTTACAAAAATTATTACGGGATTTCCACATTTTTGGTACACTCTGTATAATTATTAATATACATTTTTAATAATTGTTACTTTATGTATTATTAAATAAAACTTTTTCATCAAGATAAATATAACTTACCAGCGTATAATCTCCTTATTAAAGGAGTAAAGTTACTAACATTGTATGCAGCTACAATTCCGTCAAACAATGGACCATAAGGAAAATAATCATATGCCCATTCAGGAAGAGTCAACCCTAAAGAAGATTCGGCTACGAAAGTGTGATAAAGAAAGTAAAGATCCTCCAGCGTCTGTATATTTTTGCCAGTTAATCTCGTCAAGTTGCCCATCAAATCCTTGAACAGATCGATCTTTGTTTGCCCTTCAGGCGAGTTCAATATTCGATTGTATTCCTCGAGGAATCTGAAAACGTTTGAAAATGTAAATCGAGTAATTTTTTCTATATTAGTTTTTTAAATATCTAAACAATTAATAGCGGTATATGTCTTTTTTATAAAACTATTCTGTAATTATATTCTTATAATCATAATTATATAATTATATAATTGAATTGCTAAGAAAAGATTTAATGCTATTTTCTCATCAATTGATCACTCGTTTCATCTGCTTTCCTTTACTTACTGTGGACACTCGTCGGCAAGAAAAATATTGTCATCGATACGTGGAGCGTACAATGTCGGAATTGGTTGCCAATTTAAAAGAGGATTCCATCGTTGTACATTTTTCGGTGGGAACAAACTAGCGAGAACAAGTTGCAGAGACATTTTTGTTCTCTCATAATCCGAACTACGAGCTGAGAGAAGTTTTGGCACATACAAATTGCCAAGAAAGTCATTATATCTAAAGCGCAAAAATTTGCCCAATCTATATTCGTGTTTCTTGCCCTCCTGTAAAAGATTGCATAAATTCGATCAATTAGTGTTAAATAATATTTAATTAATCTTAAAAAAAAATTGAAAAAGAATTGATATGAATATTTATTGAAATGAAAATAATTTAATAAAATCTTAATTTTCAAAGAAGAAACGATTAACTTTTGTAACGATGCACTTCCAATAATATGCATCATTCCCGTACCACTAGCTGGATACCGCCTAGACAGCGCAAAGGTGAATAAAAGTTCATTTCCCTTTTTTTGAATTCGGAGCAGCCAATCAAAATTTAGCCTCGAATTTTTCCAGCGCGATTGCGCAACACGATAGCATCGTGGCAACGTATAACTTAAATTTAAAAGGTCGGAATCCGGTCTTAATTTCAAGCAATGTCTTAAGATGCTAATAGGGCTCTCTGATTGGTTCATGCGCTAACTTAAGATCATCTCGAATCTTGAGCAACGTTTAAGGATTCTATCCTTAATCTGTCACAGATCATAGATGGAACCATATTGCCTTTTGCATTGTGGCAATTCTATGATTGGTCAACATTGCGCATCTCTTAGGAGCGAAATACTTTATATTCTTATATTACGGATAATATTATAAATGGTACTTACTATGGTCAATTGTCCGAGGCCTGTCGGATAGAAGGAATAATTTATATATGGATCATTTGGAAACATTTCACGACCATTATTATCGGGTGTTCGATCGCCATGTCTAAATACCTATAAAATGTAAAGGAAAAGAATCGATCATGCATTCAAATATAGCAATTCTGGAATAAAATAGGCCGGTATTCACAGAATGTGCGGGATTGCTCGCGCGCGTGCGCGCGTGTGTGTGTGTGTGTGTGTGAGAGAGAGAAAGAGAGATTTTCTGTGAATCTTAAATGATCAATAATAATGTTATCTAAGTACACTTACCACATTAACTAATTTAAGCTCGGAAGGCACAGCTACGATCGAAATTATATTTAAACTAATAATAGCAATTGATAGGTAATTATTGAAATTACGACACGAGACCATGTTGCTAATCTGAAAATACAATGTCATTTGATCAATTGATAGTTAGGTTTGCTAATATTTATAAATATTAATTAATAAAATTTAAAAAATCAAAAATGTAACCATTTAAAATATTCTATTTGTCTAGATATGCTATGTAGTTATAAGCCAGTCGGAGGTTTTAAAAAAAAAGAAATTATAAACAGGTGTTTTCTTGTTTTAATCAACAGTTAAGTGTATAAAAAGATTAAATCAGGAAATGTTTTAACAACATTAAGGGAGGCATTTGGAAGTAATTAAGTAACAAAACTCGAAAATAAGAAGAGATAACGAAAAATGACAAGAGAGCTTTTTTATTGCTGTGAAAATTTCCTACAAAACAACTACTTATCGAGCTTTATAGGGGAGAACGGGGTTAGTATACTATCGCTGCGCTTGGCTTAGCGCCGAGACACTACCGTGTCTCCAGATAAGAGTAAAAAAGTAGAATAATCAAGGCTACTTAAAAACAAAACACGTGAGACACGCGTAAACGTGTCTGAGCCCTGAGCACGCAGCAGCGTTCAGCGACTGTCGCTCAGTTTGCTATAACATCTCGTTGCGAACACATCTATGATAGAAGTTACGCTACAATTTTAAAAAATCGTACACGTAAATAAATATTTTTATTTTTAAAGTTTTTGTTTTACAGTCGTATATGATTGTCTGAGATGTTTGATTTCTATTTAGATAGTAAGTGTAGTTCTTACTTAATAAAGCCCAACAGACTTATTTTGTTTATCTGTTATTATATACTATCAATGTTTTTAAAAAATGAACGGATGGGGATAGTAGGCTAATCACAGCATGGGACTATATATGACTCCGAAAGGGTAACCACTAGCTGAAATATTGTTCCATATATTACATGATTTCATATGATTTCATCTGATTACAAATAATTGTTTTCACTATATATGAAGTAATTTGGTAAAATATACGATTTTATTTAATATTATGTACAATGAATTCTCGTGGTTGCATACGTAATTATCGAATTATACATAGAGATTTCATATGAATTTTATAATTTTGTCAGAGTTGATTATAGAGCTCTATCACTGCATTGAGATATTTTACATAAAGCGACTTTTAATATGCACTGATCCAGCGTAGTGCGAATGATCGAATTCACCATAAGATAACTCAATAGAAAGTTACTAGTTAGTATCCGAATCAAGTGCACAATGTAAACTAGGCCTTTAGTCATGGCATAAGTAAAATCGTCGAAAGACTCCACGTGTCGCTACTTATATCGGTCGCCGCTCATTTCAGTTTCGTATTAGCACTGAAGCTAACATATTCCAAACAGCACACAATATTTTTGTGGTCTTAGATTGCATAGATCATAAATATTTATTGTAAATATTATGAAATATTTATTGTAAATCTTGTAGTAAATGCTATGGAAATACTTAATAAGACTTTAAAATTCAAATAAAAAATACTTAATAAGAATATTTATTTATACGTATCATAAATATTACATTAAATATTTAGTTTATCTTTTAATAATATTTCGAATAAAGCTTTATGTAAAATATGTATAAAATATTTATATAACATTTAAAAAAATAAATAATAAATATTTATCATAAATATTTAGTGCTGTTTGGGATGCAGTACATATCGGTTGTCAGGTCAGGAAGATGACACTTTGAAAAGAATTTATAAAAAGTTGCTAGTTTTAAGAATTTATAAAAAGTTGCTAAACGAATGATCGAGAAAGTTGTCCATCGATCACATACGTATGATTCGTACTATTTTATTAAAATTTCCTTTTTTATGAAATCAAACAATTTTAATTTTTAACTTTTTAATTTTTTTTTATTAACTTAGCTTTTAATTCAATTAATTTCATTATGGATTAATTTGTATTCTTAATTGAGTAAAATTTTCGAGGTTGTTAACTTTAACTTAACTTAGTTTTAAAAAAAATTAACTTACCCACAACCGTTTGATATAACAACAATGAATAATTATTATATCAAAATATTTGAAAAACTATGGAACTGACGCACATACGTATATATTTATTATTATATCGTATTTTTTTCGGAAGTTAGATTATTATTTTCAACGCTTTATCAAATGGCATCTAGTGTCAAACCCGAATCGGAAAAAACTGTCGAACTACCGCCGATTGTAAGTATAAACTGAATACTGACTTTTTCTCATAGCATGTAAGGCTTTTAAAGTGCACAAGCGTACGTACACCCCACCACATTATATTTCCTGTCCGAGCCATTTTATCGGATATTGTAAGTGGACGTCATGACATACAAACATATTAGGAGAAGTTTATTCCAAGGTTTACTTTTCTGAAATCATGTAATAAATACCATTTCTCAATTAACCAAATTTACCTTTGACAGTCTAATATTTTTTATATAGTCATATTTTAGTTCATTTAATTATATTTTGCGTGACAAAAATGCGGCGGGGATTTACGAGAAACTGTAGGATTTCCGATTCAAATAGATTATACCGTTGTGATTTAATTAGGAGGAAATAGATACGTTAAGAACTGAATGAGTCGTTACGTATTACGAGGAAATCTCACGAGTATCTTGTGAATAGATGGAATACCCTCGTCAGAATTCAATGTATAATTATATTACACATCCCAGGTAGCAAACTGTAGTCATTTTGACGTCAATAGTTAGTCATTTTGAATTATTCACGTCATGTGAGCTATTTAAGATGTAATAATGACGTTATCTTTTTTACCAATTGACGCCATTTATTTATAATGTATTTACGTTATACTTATTGACTCATATAATTAGATAAATGACTAATTGATGACGTATTGGTAACGTTAAAATACGAAAATAATGATGTATTTTAGACATTGATTAATATGACGTTATGTGACTGTGACAAATCTACGTCACTTTTACAATGATAGGACGTCAGATTTGTTAAAAATGACCAATTAATTACATCAAATAGATGATACCTTGCTACCTGGGATTGTCCTTAAAATGTCGCGGATTAAGTCAAGAATAGATATTCAATTAAATAAAATGCGATTAACATCACAAAAATATTTTTTTTAATGAAATTCAATAATTTTTTAAATGAAATTCAATAATTTTATAAATGTGCAAGTATATTATGTAACGTCAGAATTTGTTGTTACTTCAAGAGAAACAATTATTTAATATTACATAATACGTGAAATATGTATGTATTAAGCGCATACCTAGTAACAGCATTTATATGATTTTTTTCTTCAAATTCCTTTGTTCATGTGAAGAACGTAATAAAATGTAATTGATGTTATATAATCACAATTCATGATTTCGTTCATTACATGTATGTTTAAAAATGCGAAAATTGCATTAAAATCTATTATTTACGCAACAATATACATAACAGTATTCAATTATCACGTTAATAATGTTGAAAAATGTTTACAGACTTGAATCATGTTATTGTAATTATATAAATTAATATAAAAATAGATTAATAAAACCTAGTAAATTTATCTAATAAATTAAATACATATGAACCGCTGGATAATAACCTTAAAGCAACGATTGCTAAATTAAAATTCTTATCTGTAATTTAATAATATGAATTATTAAATTATCTAGAATTACCTATTATTAAACATCTAGAATGTCTCGGCTGTTTTTTTTAGAGATATGAAATAATTTATTTAATAAAATTGTATAGCATCTCAAGAGAAGTAGGTACAATATGCTACTAATAATTTTTCTATGAATGAAGGAGCTCGGAGATTTCAAAGTCACCTTAATTTTTTTTTAATGAAATTAATATGATTTTTTACGTGGTATAATTGTACTAATTATTCTGCATATAAAAATATTAAAGTAGAGATATACAAAAAATCAATAGTTTACGACATATTGTATACTTAATTCTAGCATATTTTGACATGTAATATTAAATATTTTGTAAACTATTAATTTTTTGATAATCATACCTTACAACAGAATAATGAGATGAGTCAATTAGTATAAAGAAAACATATAGTTGTTTCAAAAAAATGTGTAGACAAAATGGGTACTTTTATAAATAAGCAACTATGTGTTTTCTTTATACCATTAAACTATACTTGCTTAAAATTCAAAATTTGTAAAGCAAGTATAGTTTGAAATTGATTCACCTCATTATTCAGTTCATAATTTAGTTAATTTGAGTATAAAAATTAAATGCAAATATTTTGAATTATGAAATACATATTTTACCTAATAGTATAATAAAATGTATTAGATATTTCACGATTTAATCAATTTCTATGTTTATTTATAAATATATCTTTACATTATTTTGTGTACGACGGCTTTAATGTGCGCCAGTGCACACTGAGTGTGTCCAATCGAATTCGCTATAAGCGTTTCCCTTAAAGATTAATGCAGCATTGAAAAAAAAGATTGGAACATTAAATAATAAGAGGCGTATAAAACATTTAAAAAATAACAATCACGTAATACGATGATTGATGATTGTATATTGATACTTTTAGTATTTTTAAATATATGTAAAAGAAATGTCTGAAAAAATATTAAGAAACTTATGCGATACATTTACAAAATACACGATGTATTTTCCGGCTGTTAAACTAGGTCACAAACGCAGTAAAAAATAATTTTTAGATAATATGCGTCCTCCGAATGAAAATGCACACCTGACCGTAACGAGGAGATAATTACTACGAGCTATGAATGTAATGACCAACCAATTGCGTTTACATGTACGTCATACAAAAGTAAGAATATATTAGCTACAGGGGAAACCCGGGCGAAGTGGATACCCTAAAGTTTAAAAGGTTTTTAAAAAAATTATTGGTTGAGAGAGATGGGTACAAGAAACAATGTGCTAATTTTAATTGTACTTTATTAAAGCTTAAAATATAATAAACAGAACTTTTAAACATTTTTGATAGTTTTAAAACATTAATAAAAGATATGAATATAAGTAAAACTATTCACTTTGCCCCGATACCTGGGTAAAGCGGATAGGGAAACAGGACAAAGTGAACATAGGTACAGTGCATTTCCGCATCATTAACAAGTTAATGAATTAATTAAAAGATTAAAGGGATCTTTCCGTTTGAGAGCCGATTTTAAACGTATTCCTTGAGAATTTTTTTAATGAATAAAGATGTAAGTGTACTTAAAAAGCAATACAGATCTAGAAAGTGCATACAATGAACATGTAAAATAATATTTTTTTGTAATTTTTATTATTTACAAAGTAGTTCGCAAATGCTTGAACAATTTGTAGATTATGCAATTAGACGCGAACGATGTAGATAATTCGCATTCACGTGATTTGTCTTATAAATCACATGCGACATCAAATTATTGTGATTGCGTGTGAGATGCAATCATAATAATTTCGAGTGAGACAACTTTAATAAAAATCTAGGAGCTCTCTCGATGAAGTTACATCACAAATGTAACTTCGCAAAATAAATTTGCGGACAGCTTTTTGTGTGTGCGGTATTAACATTAATATTTATATATAAAAGTTTAAGAAAAGTTGCATCACAATGTTAAGAAACATACATTGCGTTGATTTATCTTTATCAATCTATTCGTATGTCATACACTTCGTAACTCGATGGTTTTCATACAATAATTAATGAAATCTTAAGGCTATTTTTTTAAATATCGTATCAAGAACCAAATGCACAATACGAAAAATTTGCCGTACAAATGTATAAGTCATGAAATTTCACGTATTAAAAAATAGCAGAATTTTTGCTCTATTTGAATATACATATACATATTTGCAAACTTATATATTTTTGTAGATGATAAATTATATAAACTAATCCTTTATCTGCGACAAAAGTATCAAGGTAACAATACAACTAATTTTATATAGATTTGTCGCGAAATAATTCCCGTGATGGAAATAGAAACTTTATTAGTTACGGAAGAATCACTTACTGATAAGCTGAGTTATGCAAATCTGGGATACCCGTCAGAGCGATTCATAATTTGATGCTTTTCCGGATTTTCCCAGTATCATTCTGACGATAACATCGTTCGCTTAGGTAGCTTATATATTATTACCTGAGTGATTTGATGTTATACAACATTTGTAATGATGTTGAAGTTAAAACAATTTTATGTATGTGATTGTATTCGTGATTGAATGACTAAATAAAAACTTTTTAAGAAGATACTCTCTATATTTTCTTCTCTTTTCGAGCCCACAAATTATTTTGGATAGAAGGAGCTCTTCTTATATTATACTTATATTTGTTTCGCTCTTATCCTCCTTCCACACTTTATTCCTGCTATTAATCATAATTAATAATATTTAAAAGATTAATTAGTCCTCGATTTCACATCTGACATATCGATGTTGTATATAATTTTTTATTGCAGATGATTTATCACGTTATTTACGAATAATAATAATAGTAAATAATAAACAATAAAATGATCCATAATCTTCTTATATTATATTTATGTACTCATACATTTTAAAATATAACATGACTTATATATATGTATAATATAAAGCGCTCGTGTAGATAGAGCGGACTAAACTGAGTCGAAAAGTCTTGTCTCTACCATTTTGCTATTTTCGCAATAGTTAACAAGGTATTACTAAAATTTGAATAATTTTAACAAGAAATTACTAAAAATGGCCGAATATTGGTTTTCAATAATTTTTCCTCAAGTACTATCAACTTTACAGAGAAGAAAATAAATAATTTTTATTTCTTGCTGTTTTTCTGTAAAGTTGATAGTATTTAAGTAAAAAATTATCGAAAACCAATATTCAGCGATTTTTAGTAATTAATATCTTGTTAACTATTGCGAAAATTATAAAATAGTACAGGACTTTTCGACTCAGTTTAGTCCATTTTATCTACACACGAGCGTTTTGTCAAAACTTATCGGACACCCTGTATATATATACAGGGTGTTTGGTAACGACCGCAAAATATTTCGTGCGTGTGTAGAACAGACTACACTGAGTCGAAAAGTCCTGTACCATTTTGCGGTGTCAACAATAGTTAAGGAGATATTAACGTTTAAAGATAACCGAATAAGAGCGTCCGGCCGGCCTATTGCTGCCGAATGTACAACCCACCGGCCACGATCGCACGGTGCGCGGGCCGCTGGGAGTGGGGATGACCTTCAGGCTCGCGGTGGTCAGCGGGGTGCTTGCCCCACTCCTCGCGATCGGTGGACGCTCTTATTCGGTTATCTTTAAACGTTAATATCTCCTTAACTATTATTGACACCGCAAAATGGTACAAGACTTTTCGACTCAGTGTAGTCTGTTCTACACACGCACGAAATATTTTGCGGTCGTTAACAGACAACCTGTATATACATATACAGGATGTGTCCTGTAACTTAATTATTTAACATGTCTTCGTTGTTTTTGATAATACGAGAAAATAGGATCTTCTTCGATGCGAAGAGGCACATACCATGATGAGCAAAACATTTTTCTCAAGATTATATTTTTGAGACTTCCAGGTCACTTCCACTTATTTGTTTCTATGATTGTGCATTCACATGTACGGTCCAATAAGATTCTTAGTGTTTGTTTGTTTGAATTAACAAATATTTGCTAGACAACCCGTGACCGTTGCAGTTAGTTGAATCAAATAATACTTTTTTAACCAGTAACTTTTTTCCCAGTATGTAATAAAAAAAATCGGTAAGAGCCAATACTGAATCTGCATGCATACAATAGATTATTTATTAGAAATTAACAATAAATTAAACGTTTCGAGATCATAACTTGGATCATCCTCAATAAATACAAAATTAACGCTGCGGATTAAGCGTTTTTACATTTTCCATTATAGTTTAACACACAGTTGAGAGATACGTCAAAATGGTCTGAAATAAAAATGGAGGGAATTAAATGATCTTTCCAATGGCACCTTCGATTTTACGATCGGACTTTACGCCTCATAGAGAACAAAAACTGCAAATAGGTCCGATTTAGACCACTTTCCCCAACATAATATGAACTATATGCTAAACGCATGTATTTATCGATAAAAATGAGATGTGAATACTGATTTTATATATAATTTATATAATTATTGTATATAAATTAATTAGTTGTGTGTCATCATATTATGTCTTTTTTCTCTAAGTGTAGAAAAAGCCGATAAAGAAAGCAAAAGTGCGCAAATTGTCAGCAGTACGTATATTGTAATTAAATCATACACGCTGATAACGCGGATCCGTGCTTATCATTCAGCTACGGATACAAGTGGTCATGGTTTCGGAAACGGCAGACCAGTGTCTTTACGGATGTGGCAATATAAAGGAAAATTCTTATCTGGAGTTACAAGACCACTCACGTAATATCACAAATCATTTCTTTCTCTATATTTACACACTTCTAAATTTAAAATAAGAAAAATTACGAATTAAGATTAAGTCAAAACTTTAGACTGCCTATAAGGCCCGAATTCATAGTATAGAATAAATAATTTTCAATCTTTAATTAATTAATTAAGTAATTAAGAGAGTAATTAATTAATACTTATATTCATAGATCATTATTCAAACATCATTTGGATTAATATTTCACAAATCTCTATATTACGAATCATAATCTGTCTTTTAAAAATCTGACATTATTTATACATACTTTATAAATAACCTAAGATTTCTTTAAGAATTTATAGATTATAGTCGATTAATCTTCAATTAGCTCAAATAATCATAAGTCAGTATTCATAGTCCATTACCAAATTGTCAGGACTTTGCAGATCGATGTAAATCTCCGAATTTACTCAACGGAATCAAAAATCCTTTTACAAGATTAAAGCAGACGCAAAATTTGGTGGTGCTGTAATAGACTTTATACTAAAATAAAAAAAAAATTAAAAACTCTAAAGGGCCATCTACAATGAGCAGTAGCAGTAGTGATAAGGCTGTAAGACACATCGAGAGTAAGCTAATTTTCTGATATAATAGAACGTAGAATAAGCAATAAGAGAGTAGAACGTAGGAAATGCATTTCAACCATTCACTTACGGATTTACTTTACACCCTATTATACTAGAAAATTAAATTACTTTCGATGTATCTTACAGCTTTTACCACAACTGCTACTGCCTATTATAGACGAACTTATAGAGCTGTCACCTGACGTAGATGTTTCCTTAATACAAAAGTTTTCTATGGACCAAACGACAGTGCAGCACCAAGGCCCGATTGTACCAACGTTACTTTGACTTTAAGCGAGGCTTAAAACTCTTTTTATTTCTCTCACTTTTTCAGTTTTAAGGGGTCGTTCATATATTACGTAAGCATAATTGGAGAAAGGGGGTCAGATAAATTCTAATAAATGTTTACATGAGAGGGGAAGGGATCGTACATATCCTTATGCAAGATTTTTATCCGCTGCTGATGAAAAACAACGAGCACTATTTGCAAAAAGCTTGTTAAATCTGCTGCTGATGCAATGGCGTGGATATATGATAAAGTTAGTGTGATTTAAATATGAACGGAAGTTGATAAAACTTTAATATATTGTATTTATATATTTATTTTCTCACAATATATATTTTAGATTATATATTTTGCACACTAATAGTTAAAGATTAGTACTATATCGTCTGTACTCTCAGTTTAATCACATGATTGATGTAAGTCTAAAAATTATATTTAATTTGCTGATATTATTAATAACAGTTCGTTTTGACACTATTTTTTCAATGCAATTGTACGATTCTTTTAATAATTGAAAAAATCGTATTATTGTGTTGACAAAAAATATTATGCCAAAACGAATAGTTATTAATAATATCAGTAAATTAGTTTTTTTTTATTACATTGCATATGGAAAAATCTTACATAATTATAGGAGAGGAGGTCTCAGAAATCCTGACCCTTGCTTACATAATGGGGGAGGGAGGGGATTAAAAATGGCTAAAAATTTGCTCACGTAATATATGGACGGCTTCTAAAGAGAAAAAGTGAGAGTTTTAAGGCTCTTAAGTAGTCGCCACAGCCATATTGAATTGTGACGTCAGAAGCGAGAAATGACACATTAATTCATCAATGAAACTAAGATTAAAAGCTTAAAACGAAAGATTTATATCGATCTGCAAATAACGTATATACGAACGCTGAGCGAAGATTTGGAATGGTAAACAAAGCAATAATTGTATCTAGCAGTAGGTGTTCGATCTTGCAAGAGATAACATTACAATGTGTTAAATAAGGACAGATGAATGTGTTTGAGTGAGACACAACGATATATAATAAATATAGGAATTGAATGAAAGATATTTTTATCGAATTTGAAATTAAAAAAGTCTGTATCGACTTCGATCAAGTTCGGCCGTCGCTCCAGCATCCCCTTAAGTAACATTTTAATTAAGGTACTAATATTAATAGATTGACTGTTCTTAAGATGATCTTAAATATATTGAAGATTATTTTAAGTCAATTTATTACCATTAGTAATACTAATAGATAGTAAATTACACTATAATTTATAATTTATCAGTATTGTATAATCTATAATTTATTAATATTACTATTAATACTAATTTACAGTAATCTACAATTATCTATTATTATTAATTACTATTAGTAATACTAATTATCTTGTTACCTGGCAATAAATCAGGTTAAATTAATCTAACCCAGCTGTTACAACTCTCATGTGCTTATATTTATCTAGACTTACGTTATATAGGATATAACACTGATTACATTCCTTATATGTTTTCCTTCATTCAAAATTAAGCAATAGTACTGAATGTCCCATTGGCAGATTGCACAATTTTCTACAATGTTAAAAAAAAAAAATATCGAATCGACACTGGGATCAATATTCGTAAAAAAATTTATTTGCAAATTTTATTTTTTTATGGCTTAAAGTACAGCCAAAACGTCTGTAATTACGTTACATATTTTTTAAATTTAAAATTTGTTTCGCACTGATTAGCGCAAAAACTTTGATTAGAGAGCTCTTGTGTATTCCCTTAAATTTGACATTTTCGAAAATTGTTCTTTGTTTGTATTTTTTATTTTTTTCTGAAGTTATATATATATTTTTTATATAAGATATGTTTACAGTACGGTGATTTTATGTGAAATTAGCTATTTAAATTGATTTTGAAAAATACACTTACCTTAGTAGGATTCCTATGACCTCTGGATTATGAATTTCTTGCGTTACGTGCTACAACATTTTTTCGATTGATAAATGTATTACTTACTGTCTGTTTATATTATAACAAGCGCGCGCTCGCGCGCACACACACACACACACACACACACACACACACACACACACACACACACACACACACACACACACACACACACACACACACACCAACACTCATAATACACATGCATATATACACCCCACACAATTAAAAAGAAAAAAAATTTTTTAATTTTTTTACAATCAAATAAAATAAATTAGAAAAAATTGTTTCTTGTTTTATTATAAAGTACTCTTGAAATCATGCAACTTTCATTTCAAACATTTTTTTCTATCTCTTACAGTTTCGACGATATTCGCTTCGAAAGAGAAAAACCGACTTTATTCGAAGGAATGTTTCATCCCTTAAAAATGAAAGCGAACACGTATAAAAAAATACGTATTGCTTATTTTTGTTTGGAGAATAACATACTAAAAGCTCATTAAGATCGGAGAGGGACAGTTGGGTCCCTTTTCTTGTAAGAGATACCCAATTCAAATAACCACCACGCGGTGTATCTTGGGTAAAGCTAATGCTGATGGTGAAAAAGCAGAAACGCACGCATGCCCACGCACGTAGGTACGGACATTCATCTTTGATTTGTTCATGTTATTGTACGATTCGAGTATTTATTATTGTTATCTAAGAACGCTTCAGCTGTCACTAATAATTTCAAATATAAAATATACTGAAATCATTTCAGATTAATTATTACACGGGTATAGATGACATGATAATCATTTTGTCGTTACCAAATTGCACTATAAATATGTCCACTAAAGACTTTAATAAACATTACTATCGCTCTGATAACTCAGAATTTACAATCTTTGTGTGACTGGTTTACTGAGAACTTAACGGAAGATTTATCAAGGAAGAAGAAATTGGATTCATCGAATTACAATGGAGCTATTTCGTTCATCATAGCAAAAATGTAATATTTATTTTAATATTTCATATAATATTTATTTTAATATTATTAAATATTTACTGCGGCTTTTAATATTTAAAGTAATGAAGTATGTAGTAAAATTTTGCACGGTAACTGAGAATAAAAAATTAACATTTTCTGTTTTACTTATATAAATATACAGGATGTAATTAACGCCCATTAATCATACAGTGCTATTCCTAATAAAAAACTAAATCGAAAAGTCCTGTACCATGTTACACCCTGTATATGTATATATATACATATATATATATATAAAACGAGTATGAATTAAATGTGATTCTAATTTGTTACGACGTATGTAATATGTTATTCTTGATCATCTAGATTAACACATGGATTAATGAAAACGACTCCTTGGCAAATTTTGCAAATCCAATATTCACGAAAGCCTCCGCACTGTTTTCTAAAACATTTAACCATTGTTTTTCCGCAGTATCCAGATCCAGACCTGCATGCTTAAGTTCTTTATCAATATAATATGCTTTCCAAAGATCTTTGACATGAGGTATCACTTTTTCTGCAGGTCGAGTTCTTTGATTGCTTGGTATAATTGTACGATATTTTCGTAGAATGATGTTTAACGCATAAAATACAAGATGTAATTGTTTTATCAAGACGCAGTCCTTTTGAATTTTCCTGGTCAGCAAGAACTGAAGTGATTTTAATTTTGTTATCAAAAAATCAGTCACCTTGACGCATATCGGCAGTGAATTACAAAACTCCAGAATTATTTGTACCCGATAAATCCACATGGGTGTCTAAAAAGAAAATAATTTTGTATAACTGTATTACATAGTTGTGATACTGTATTTCTAAATAATTTTAAAACATTTTCAATATTTTTTGTATATATACATATTGTATATATATTTTTGTATATACGGTAGAGCGAGACTTTTTCGTTCATTTCTCGCGATTATGTTTCTGAAGCACAGTTCTGTTGATTATTTAAAGATTGTGCTTGTGCTCTCAAGGAGCAATCATGACTGTATGATGTAATTATAACTATTATAAGCACGTCGCTGCAAAGAAATATTGTTTGCTATCGTAAATTTTCGTATTACTTTAAAGTTGAAACTGACGGAATAGCTTTACCCTATATAATATGTATACATTTATATATTTTGTTCACGTATATATTATAGTTTTTAAGTTGTCAATATGTATTATATTATACAGAGTAGGACAGTAACTCTGTACACTTAGAATACTTCCGTTATTTTTAGAGATATGAAATAATATATTTATTGAAATTGTATAACATCAAGAGGGGGGGATACAATATACTACTAATAGTTTTTCTATGTATGGAGGTGCTTCGGAGATTTCAAGGTCACTCCACTTTTTTAAATGGAATGGTATGATTTTTTTTACACAATATGGTTCCTCTAATTATTCTGCGTATAAAAGTATTAAGATAATGATATCAAAAAACTAATAACCCAGACGTCTTTTAGACCCGATTTTAGACACTTTTTGTTGTCTGGGAATTTGGGGGGTAAAATATACGATTTTATTTAATATTATTTATACAATGATTTCGAGGACTCTGTCCCACGATTACATTAATGGTTATTGTAAGAGGAATATTTAATTGCAATTTTTACGCATATAAGAATATTACAAATTTCTTCTCTGAAATTCTAATCTGTATCAGCCAGGCTAGGGAACACTGATCAAAACCGTGTATCATTTGCTCGGTTTTACAATAAGCATTAAAGTACACAGACCTTAGCTATTAGCATACCAAATATTACAAAAAGCATATTTTACGATCTATATACCTTTTTGTATAATCTTTTCCAATCGACCTTGGCACGAACATGTTTATCTCTGCCGATAACTGCGCAACTGTTTAACATACGCTTTTGCACGAGGGGGTAACCATTAATGTAATCGTGGGACAGAGTCCTCGAAATCATTGTATAAATAATATTAAATAAAATCCAGTATATTTTACCAAATTCCCAGACAACAAAAAGTGTCTAAAATCGGGTCATAAGACATCTTTTGCGTCTAAAAGACGTCTGGGTTATTAGTTTTTTGATATCATTATCTTAATACTTTTATACGCAGAATAATTAGAGGAACCATATTGTGTAAAAAAAATCATACCATTCCATTTAAAAAAGTGAAGTGACCTTAAAATCTCCGAAGCACCTCCATCCATAGAAAAACTATTAGTAGTATATTGTATCCCTCTTGATGCTATACAACTTCAATAAATGTATGTATATTATTTCGTATCTCTAAAAATAGCGGAAATATTCTAAATGAACAATTATTGCTCCACCCTGTATACTTATTTAATGTAATATTTGTAAACATAAAAAATGTGTAATGTAATATATACCTGA